TCCCAGCAGCATTTCTAGACCCTCCCTGATGTCTCTGCACCAGCTCTGGCTGTTGCCATGTGCACTTGGCCTTCTGAACTTGGATCCTGAGCCCCTGTGCCACAGGACATCCCTCCCAGAGCCCAGGCCCTTCTTCTGGGGGTCACTCCAGAGCTGTTCAGGGCCCTGCCCTCATCTTGGCGTCATTCTGTCCTCAGGGCAGCACTGGCCTCTTTGCCTTCTAAAACTCTAGGAGGTTTGTGTTTCCAGACCCCAGAGCTCCTCAGGGCCCCTGAGAGTGACTCTCAGCTGGGGCAGCTCTCAGAGGTGTGCACAGATGGCTCCCCTGACTCTTGGTGCCCAAGGCTGCTGCTGCCTGGCAGGGCAGGCACAGAGGTGACCTGGCAGCCCCTTGCCAGCCCTGGGCCCCCTCGGCATCCTGAGGCACCGCTGACTCCTGCCAGCATTGCCGCCCCTCTGTTTCTTGTGTGCCACAGGCTGAGCAGGTACAGGTCACCTCCCGTTCTTCTGCCAACCCCCTGGGCCTGCTCTGGGCCCTCCAGGTCCTTGCCCTGCTCCCGAGGGCTGTGGGGGTGGTTACTGGTCAGGGCTTGGGGTTTAGAGCTCAGGATCGGGATTAGGCAGAAGCTGAGGGGGGTTTGTTGTTCTGCTGGCAGTGTCTGCTTCGGGATTAGGGGAAGAGCTTTTTGGGCTGGGTCAGGATTAAAGCTTAGCTTTTCACACTGACAGTGCAGGTTTTGGAGTGGGCTGGCCATTGGAGTACAAAGAAGAGTGTGGAGTTCTGTGTTTGGGCTTTGCCTGCAAGGTCAGGTTGAGGCTGGGAGTAGAGTCGCAGATTCTTTCCAGTGGGAGGGGCAGCACTTTTAGGTGGTGTTGGGGCTTGAGGGTACAAAGAGGGCAAAGGCCCATCAGGAATGTTTCCACAGGCAGTGCTGCAGCACTGTCAGCTTTAACTGAACCTGGTTTTACCTCATGAAATCTTTGATCTCTGTTGGCCAAGCCCCTCTTTCCTTCCCCAATTGTCTTATCCCTTTTGTGCAGGTTCCTCCTGACCTCCCCAAGTCTTTCATCTTGATGGGCTCAGCTCTGTGATGACCCTCAGGACCCCTGAGCATCTGCCTGCCCTCCTTGGCCAGTCAGTTCCTGTGAACAGCCCTGGCAGCCCAGCCCCCAAGGGCACACGATGTGCTGCTGGGCTGGAGAGGACCCTCCTCAGCCTGGGCAGCAGGGCTGNAGAGAGAGAGCCAAGGGACAGGGCCACGGGCAGGGCCACGGGTGAGGGACAGGCAAGGCCATTGCAGGGCCACGGTGAGGGCACAGCCTGTGGCAGCAGAGCTGCCCAAGGCCTGGGCCAGGCAGGGGGTGTTGGTACCAGGCAGTGCTGGGGCCGAGCAGAGCACGAGGCCTCTTGCAGAGCCCTGGAGCAACCTCCCACTTGCCAGCCCTGCCCTGGTGGGGTGACACTGTCCCCTCCCTACAGGACACCCCCAGAAATCTTCCTGGGGGCCTTTTCTGTATGTTGCTGGTTGGTGATTCCTGTTGGGGGCCTGAGGGCCCCTCTGCAATCCCATCCATGGGGCAAAGTCTGCTCTCCAGAGCTTGACTCACTGCAGACTTTGCAGGGAAATCTGTGCTGGCAGCCTGAGTATGTCCCGACCCCCTGTGCTCACCCCAGGATATTTGGGATGAGTTCCCCCTTCCCAGGCATTTGCGGGGTGGGGGGTAATTGTTCTCCTGCTGTTGCTGTTTCTGCTCCACCGTTGGAGGCTCTTAGGGGAGGGTGGGAGGTGTTTTTGGGGGGTGCCGGGCTCGATTGGGGGCAGAGCCCCGGCGGTGGGTGGGGGATGCAGGTCCCCTCCCGTGGTGGGGGTTGGTGTTGCTGGGTCAGGCCCCGCCGGCTCCATTGTCAGCCCGGTGCTGGCGGGGGGGGACACAGCGGGTTTGGGACCCCGCAGGAGTGCCGGGGGTGGGTGTGGAGCCCAGGAGCTGCGGAGTGTGGAGGGCGGAGCAGGGAGATGCTGGAGCTGAGGGACCCCCGGCAGCCTGGAGGGGGGAGCATGGAGAGGGAGGAGCCCCGGGACCCCCGGGAGCCTGAAACAGGGGGTGCGTGGAGAACGGGAAGCCTGGACAGTGGGGACCCCTGGGATCCCTGGGACAGCAAGGTGGAGAACCTGGAGAGGGGGAATGTCTGGGAACGTGGCACCCCGAAGGTGAAAGTCAGAGAAGAGTCCCCTGGGACCCCCAACACTCCCAGCATTTTTAAGTTGGACCCCCAGCATCCCAGACAGGAGAGACCTCTCGAACCCCAAAGGGGAGAGACCAGAGAGGGGGAACTTCTAGGAGACAGTTTTGGGCCAAGTCTTCATATTTTGGAGTATTTTCTGGCTGAACCTTAACTTTTTGGAGTTTGAGGGGGGGGTTCATCTCGCTGTTTCTAAGGGGGTTTCTGGCTGAATCTCAGAGGTTTGGGTTTTTCTGGGCTTGATCCTGGTGTTTTGGAGGTTTTTATGGACACAGGATGCCCGGTGAGTTCTAGAGATGGACTTGGGCAGGAGGAACCCCCAAGCCAACACACTCAGCCCTTGTTTCCGCCCCTATCAGGATTTGTCCTTCCCAAAGCTTGGGCGGATGGAGGAGGAGGCTACGAGGAAGAGGAAGATGCCTTGGGCCCCCCAGGCAGGTGAGGAGGAAGTCAGTGGCCCTTTGGGCGGGTGTTGTGCTGGCTCTGTCAGCCGAGCATGGCCCCGGCTGCAGGACAACCCCGCTGCCGCTGCCGTCCTGCCATGGCCGGAGTTGGGGGGATGTCCTTGGCCTTCCCTGTGGGCCGGAGGCAAATCCCCTCCCTGTCCTTCTTGCTTCCTGCCCCAGGCCCCGAGCTGAGGACGGAGAGCCCGGAGGACAAATCCCCCCGGCAGAGCCTGGTGGGAGAGGCCGTTTTGAAGGGCTCCCCGGGGCAGGAAGGCAACGGGGAGGAAAAGGGCCGGAGATCCCCCCGCAGGAGGGGCTCCAAAGCCATCCCAGGGTGCTCTGAGGAGGAAAGACCCAGCCGGGAAGGCGGCCAGAGCTTGACCCAGAGCTCTGAGCTGGTGGTCTCTGAGCAGCCTCCCAGCAGGGAGAAGCCCTTCAGGTGCTTGGAATGTGGGAAGAGCTTCAGGAGGATCTCAAGCCTCCTCACCCACCAGCACATTCACACTGGGGCACGTCCCTACACATGTGGGGAATGTGGGAAGAGCTTCAACTGCAGGTCCCACCTTTTCCATCATAAGCTCATCCACACTGGGGAACGGCCCTACTTGTGTGGGGAATGTGGGAAGAGATTCAGGCAGAGCTCCACCCTCATGAAGCACCGGTGCATCCACACTAGGCAGAAGCCCTACAAGTGTGGGGAATGTGGGAAGAGCTTTAGCCAGAGCTTTGAAATGATCCTACACCAGCACATCCACACTGGGTAACGGCCCTACAAGTGTGGGGAGTGTGGGAAGAGCTTCACCGAGAGCTCTAAGTTGACCAGACACCAATGGACCCACCAGTAAGTGAAGCCCTACCAGTGCCCCGACTGCAGGAAGAGCTTCAGCTGCTGCTTCCACCCCAAATGAACCCCCTGATGGGGAGGCAACCCCTGGAGTCCAGTGACTGTCAGTCCATCCCTTTTGACCACAAAGGGCCAGTCCCCTTTCCCAGGTGCAGGTTCTGCAAACAGAACCCTTCTTGGGGGTGTGTGGAGATTCCTGCCTTGGCTGGGGACCCCCCAAGGTCACTCCTGGAGGTTGAGAGCAGAGATCCCCCCATGAGCGTTGGTCTGGGGGAGTTCCATCCATCTCTAATTAAGAATTATTGCTTTTGTGCCAGCTTTAGTGGAATTGCTTCAACAATTGCTTTAGTGTAGGGCACTGTCCTGTCTTATCCTGTACTCCTGGTAGTTTTAGTGTTTCTATTGTGCAGTAAATAATTCTGATGAAGATCTTTTGTCTGATCATTTGGAACCCTAAATAATTCATTTCTATCAATAGATTTTATTTGCCATCATTAAAAGCTGGGGACAAAAGTGTTGCAGTCACAGCTCTGTAATTCCTCTAAACTGAAAGTGTTGGCATAATCCAAGGCTGAGATTGGATCCAGCAGCCCCCAGCACCCCACAGGAAGTTGGGAGCTCAGGGGGCCACCCCCTTTTGCCAACACCCCTGTTCCCAAAGACCCCCATGGGACTGTCACATCTGCCAGACCCACCCCCCCTTTTCCACCCTTCTCCCTGTTCCTTCCAGTTTTCCACAGTCCACTCAATCCCCAGCCCTCTCCAGGATCACTCTGGGGGTCCCAACCTCCATTTTTTCCCCATCTCCCACCCCTTCCACATCATCCCCCACTCCCCAGCCCCCTCATGCTCAGTTTGGGGGTCCCACCCTCCCCTGTCCCAGCTCTTCTGACTTCTCCCACCCATTTCTCATCATCCTCCAAACCTCAGAGCTCCTCCCCCTCCACTTTTGGGGGTCCCACTCCCCTCCCAGTCAGTTTGGGTTCCCAACACCCCTTTATCTCCTCTGAACCCCCCTTTTTCCCATCGACCTCCTCCTTCCCACCCCTCGCGCACCCGAGAGCTCCTCGCCCGCAGCTGGGGGGGCTCCCAGCACCACCAGTGCCAAGAGAAGTGCCCCCCGAAACGGGGTTGGGTGGGGTCCTGGGTGGGCTCTGAGTGTCTTTTGGGGTCACTGTGGGGCTGTGGGGAGGTTTTGGGAGATCCCAGCACCTTTTGGTGTGTGCTGGGTGCTTTATTGAGGGGTAGGTGCCCTCCCAAAGCTCCCCCAGAGCGCCTTGACATGGGGGAACACAGGGGGGCCCCCATTCCCGATCTACTTCAGGGCCAGTTCTGCCCCCCCAAACTCAGCTCCACCCCTTGGGATCCCCCCAAGCCCCTCCCCCACTGCCCCCCCAATAACCGGGACTGGGGAGAACTGGGAAGCTTAGCTGGGATCACTGGGAGTCCTCAGGGCTGTGCAGAGACAGGAGTCCTTCCCTTGCACACACACCCCCAGTTCCTGGCAGCAGGGGCAGTGTCTGCCTGGCTCCTGCTGCCACTGCCAGGGGCTGGAGGCCCCTCAGCCCTGCAGAGCCCCCACCCTGCCCACTCACACCCTTCAGCTCAACATTGGGGTTTTCCCCTCCCTGGCACTGCCCAGTCCAGCCCCTCCCTGGTCCCCCCATCTCCCTGCCCCTGCCCCAGCCCAGCAGAGCAGCACACTCAGGTCTGGCCCTGCAGCAGGACATGGAGGCCATGGGGGTCAGGGACAGGCCCTCTGGGTCTGCAATGCTCAGCACATCAGCAGCTCCGGCAGCTCCTGCAGCCCCA